TCACGCGCGCGCGCGCGCGTGTGTGTGTGTGTGTGTGTGTGTGTGTGTGTGTGTGTGTGTGTGTGTGTGTGTGTGGTGTGTGGTGTGTGTGTTTGTATATGTATATATTTATATAGATATTCTTTCTTCACAATAGCTTTATTAATTGCTGCGCGATTGCATGAATTTAGCAGATCAACTGCTGACATTATAAAAATTGTCAAGGTTCACGAATCTACCCTACGTAAAAGGTAAAATATATTGCTCAGGTATCTGTTTAATATTTCTATAATAGTTTTATGTATATGGATTTCATAATGATAAATTTTTCTTTTTCACATATAGATTGATGGAATTTGGTGATACACCATCTAGTGGTTTAACATTAGATGAATTTATGACGGTAGATTTAGAAGAAGAACAAGATCCCCCAGCATTTAAAGCAGCACGTAAAAAAGATAGAGAACGTTTACAACGAGTATGTCCTTTTTTACGTTATAATATAATGTTTTCTATTCAATAGCTTTAAAACCGAATTAAAATAATTTTATATGATTTCTTTGTTTTATTACAACAATATTTACTTTTTAGTTAGAAAATATAGATATGGAAATAAATGAACTGCAAGCAGAAATTGATAGACAGCTAGAAGATTACAGAACAGGAAAAGCAAGGAAACGGAAGGATGGTAATTATATTATATAGCTCACATTATTTAGTAACAATAAATGTAAAAAGACTATTTAAATATATGAAATTTTATATAATCACTTGAAACATATAATTTAAATACACTCGTGCACGTATGAAGATAGTATATTTCTATATAACTATTATGACACTATTAAAATACAATTACAATTATTTTCAAAATAGTGAGAAATTAAAAACGTAAGAAATTAATTAAAAAATAGTGAGAAATATACACATATATACATATATTGAATTTAAAATAAGAAAGTTAAATGGCTTTTCTTTGTGATATGATTAAAGAACATTACAAAAAGAAAATATAATAAAATAAATTTATTTTAAAGCATACATTAAAAATTCTGTAATTTTATTTAAATAAAATATCTGAAAAAGCTCGGAATTTTCAAATATTCGGAATAAAATTTACAAAAATTGAGTAAATCTTGTTAATCTAAAGTATTCTTCGAGAATCTCTATCTACTTTAATATAATATTTAAGGTAGTTAATTTATATTCATTGAACTTCTGTAAAAAATAACAATTTTTTTACGATATACTTTTTATAGCATCTTCTATAGAAAATGAAGACGCAGATAGATTTATTCGAGAAAGTAATTTGAGTGTAATTCAAAAATATGTTGAGAACAATATGGATGGTCCCAATGATGAAATCCGAGATTCTATATCATATGAAAATAATAGTTCACTTGTAACTGGATTAGGTGAGTTTACATAAAATTATATTATTTTATATTTTATTGCCCGTTGTAATTTCATGTACATGCAGGTCCGGATATAGCCTCTATGATGTCTACAAATGATCATTCAAGTGAAACCAAAGAAAAAGATAATTTTGAAAATGTAAGGATTATCCTATTTATTTTGATCTAAATGGAATTATAAATTATGATTCTAGTTATTATAATAATATATACAAGTATTTCCTATATCTCTATTTTGATAGGTTTTACACTGTAGATTAGAATAAGGAACGCATGTACTTTTTATAAGTATTCAGATATTAATGCAACACATTGTACATTAATGTGAAAACTTTCTGGCTGAAGTAATATTTCTCACAATAAGAATTTTTTGTAGGAAGGGGATATTTTTCGGTATATTTTTTATTCATATATCATTTATTATTATTTTTTGCTGTCTTACGTTCATATTATTATGTTGAATTTACTTTTTATGTTGGTTTAAAAATAACATCTTTGTCACTATGTATCTTATTATTTCGACAAATATATCACATCAGGCATCATAGCAGATGTTCACGCAATTTCTCATGCTACACGCGAAACATCATTGCACTCGAATATATAGGGTCTTCGCACCAAATCTTCTATCTCACTTCAATGAGCATTGCACATGACTTAATAATCAAATTGTAGAGATATTCAATATGAATCAGAAGATTTTTAGACACGACTCTTTCGCGGCGCGACATGAGTTATGTGACATCAAAGGCGAAAAATGCAAAAAATTTCTTGCATATAGCGTATAGCTTTATCTTGCTTTATCTTTTCCCTTATAAACATATTTTTATATTCTTAAAACTTGTAAAAAGCATCAGAAAGTAAAATATCTGTCCAAGAGAACACATAAAAGTGTAAAATAAAAGGAAAAAGAAGAAAATCGTATAAAATAATTCTTGAAAAAATGATCACTGCTCAGCTATCAGGACAACTAGATCTAATGAATCTTTTGGTGACTTCTGATAACTGAGCAATGTACCATTATTTCAAGAATTATTTTACACTTTTATATAATCTATCAGACAGATATTTTATTTTCTGATATTTTTCACAAGTTTTAAGGACATGAAAATATCATGTTTTTAAGGAAAAAGTATAAAATAAAGCTATATGGCACAAGAAACTTTTTGCATGTCATTTCTCGTTTCTGACATCATAATTCAATATGGCTGCAGCGACAGAGCCGAGCTTTAAGTTCAAACCCTGACTGAGATAATATTTTTTACAATAAGAATTTCTCATGAAGAGAAGTAATCGATATTATATTTAATTATTGATTTATTAAAGAAGAAAATTTAGCTCTAGTTTAAGTCGCTGCTTTTCAAATCCATTAAAAATGATATAAATATTTATCTTTAATTTTTATATAAATTTAAAAAAATAAAAGAGATTATTAAATATCTAAGCTTCTACATGCTGATCATTGCTCATTATCTGCATCATATCTTCTGCTGTTTAAATTTATTAGCCTATTTTTTCATTTAAATATACCATGTTTTAAATATATAAAATTAATTTATATTAATAATTTGTATTAGTTTTATAGTATTCTTTATAATAGTTTATAATATTATAAAAGAATATCTCTGATATAAATCACGTGTAAAGAATCTAAAATAATTAAACAGGTTTCTTTTTAGTCTTCTGAAGAAATCTACACGAATGATATTGATGATGAAGAATTAGATAGTTATATTCTTTCGGAAAAAGAATCACAGTCCAAATCTGCCCTTTGGAATAAAGTAAACGCAGATTATCTTGTTCAACAAAAGGAAAAAGAAGAAAAACGTTCAAAAGAGAAAGAAGAAGGTAAACCTGAAAAGAAAAGAAGAAGGACGACGTCTAAAAAACACAAAACACCCGCAAATACTGCAGGTAAGTTGATTTTTCCATTCTATTTTTCATATTAATATATTTATTTTTTATTTAGTCATCTTCTATTTTTCTTTTAATAGGCGAAGCAATCGAAAAAATGCTACAAGAAAAAAAGATATCCTCCAAGATTAATTACGAAGTGTTGAAAAATCTAAACCAACAACAAAACAGTCAAGAGTTACCAATTACGAATACACCGGAATCAGACATAATAAGTTTTAAGAAACCGTTAGTATAGATTATTTTACTGATAGATAATTATATCTATTTCCTAGAAAACTCTGGAAAATTGAGAATTTTTAGGAATTTTTTTTTAATCTTGAAAATCAGAATATCATGCAAATTTATTATAATTCAGGGAATTTTTTGAAATTTTATCTCTAAATTTAAATTTTGCCTCTTTCAGAAAAAAATTTAATAATTTTGCTTTTATAATGTAAGCTAGTGATAATTCGCCAATCATTCAAGTTAGCAATCAGTATAAACATATCTTTTATTTTGCGTATTCCGTTTATTTATATATTGACATATAATTTGCGAGTTTTTATAAAGGAAATTCAATTGTCTCCTTAAAATGATTAAACCAAAATATTAATATCCAAATATTAAGCAGATATCCTTTGGTAATTAAAAGACATTAAAAACTGCATACAAAATAAATTTATTTTAAACTTAAGAATTCTTAAGTTTATTTAGAATTTTAAATAAAAATACTCGAGAAATTTGAAAATTCTTAGGGAATTTTTTTTATAATACTTGAATAAATACTGATTATGCAAAGTGACCGATTAATATAAAATAATTTTTCTGTTCAATTAGGGTAACAGTTAATTCTACACTAAAGTCTACAGATGTTTCGCTGACAAGAAAATGTCGTTCCGTTAAACCAAATACTCAGCAATTTAAGGAAATGGATAAGACATCAAGAAAAGAGGATAAAGAATTTACAAAAAAAGAGATCAATTCAATAGAAATAGATGCTCCTATAGTAGACACATCTGAAATTGGTTGTGTAATCTTTATAATCGTTTCCGTTATTTTATCATAGATTATTATACTAAACTTAAATATTTTAATTATTTATTATACTAAATTTAAATATTTTACATTTAATTATGAATCTAGATTTGATTATATATCCATTTTTATTACAGTATATGATAATGACGATTATCTTGATGAAGAAGAATCTGATGCTGCGGAAATATCACTTGGACAGATGCTTGAGTCTCGTGCACCGTCTGAGAGTGAATTTTGTGACGATAGTTATGAATATGAATAAAAATAATAACTGTATGTACTTTTTAAAATTTAATTATTTATTATTATTATGTAAAAGAAAAAATAAAAGCGTATTAATCTAAAAAAAGAGATTCATGTCATTATAATTATTTTATAATTATTATTACAATATTAACTAATCGCATATTTTATTAAACTTTTTGTTCTGAATTTTCTTATCAATATCTATTTTTTTATCTTAATAACATACTTTCATAAAGAAATCGTTTTGCGCTATCTCTTAATAAACTTTTATTAAACTTCTTACCACTGGCCTTACACTAGCAATGTTACATTCAGTGGATTCAATGATTCTTTTTTTTCTTAAAATACAAAACAACAAAACTCTATCATCATGATTTCTACGAATTTATTAGAGTGAGGAATATCTTTTTTTTTTACTAAGCTTTTTTGAGAAAGTGTTGTTTATTAACGTTTTAGCGATACAGACTTTCTGCATCGTTCCGCGGCCGTCTAAAGGCTCGTCAAAGCGATTCAAACAAAACAACCAGCGTAACGTGAGCGCAGGCGTTGAAAATAAAATTAATTTATTTCCCTTATGTTGCTGCGCCGCGCTGCTACGACCGAAAACAACTCTTTTGCGCATGCGCTTACGCTTTTACGACGTCTTATGCCTTGTCGTGTAAACGAGTCTTAACTGCCGCCAAGTGGTACCCGACTCACCGAGTGAATGCGGAGAGTATAAGCAGTGTGAACAACCTTTTAAATATACAGTAAATGCAGTTTATATGAACAAGAAACACTTTGGGTGCTTTCCATTTAGTGACACAAGTCGACAAGTATCATTTTGTCCTTGTTAATCATTGAATGCCAGGAAAGATAGAACGATACTTGTGTCGACTTGTGTCACTAAATGGAAATCATCCATTGTATACACGAAAGAGGAAAATGTATCGGATAAAATGTCTATGCTCGGATATAAATAACTGTAGAGTCATTTTTGAAACTGTCAAATAAATATGACGTAGTTCTCTAAATAGCATAGGCTAACGTTGTCTTATCGTCTTATCATCTTATCATCTATCTTCAACGATAAGACGTTCTCGTATGCATACTTGATACACGTACTTGTTACATACTTGTTGTGTTCCAGTGAAACGTAAATTGTTTAATGAATGTGTGGCACATGTTGTTTTTGTTACGTCGTTGTAAGTGTGATTAATACAATAAATGGAAAAGTCGTGATGATAAATGATTTCAATTGTATACTTTGCTGAAACGCGAAATCAGTTGCAACCGTGATGATTTCGACATTAATTGCATCCTATATATTGTGAGAAGATAATGAGCTGGTTACGAAACAGCCCGTTGCGAACAAGTTTCAGCAAGCAGCAATCCAGAGACTCGCCACCGAAAGATGCTGATCCATCTGCATGTTATGATAGCTTCTGCAAACATTCACAACAGATTTATGAAATTATTCTTCAATCTTTAGTAAGAATAGCTTTTTTTAAGCTTTCTTTATCAACTTACTTGTATATATATATTGACATTTACACTTCTTTTTACTTCAATACTTAAATATATATCTAATATAAAATTGTCGAAAGTATTAGGATATGTATTATAGAACTCTTTGGACTGGATTTTGATTGGAATTGTTCACTTATTTCCTAGATTGTCTATTTTTTAGAAAAAAAAATTTTGATCGGAATCCATTTTGAATCATTTTTATAATATGCTTCTATATACTTTTGGCTTTTATTGTTTTCCTTTTTTGTATTTCGTGAAAGATAAAATTTGTTTACAAAGAAAAGTTATTTTCTTTATTCTTTTTTATTCTTTGTAATTATATTGAAATATGATGTATTAACTATTGAACTACGTAGGATGTTCTACTTTAATCTATATCTAAAAGCTGCAAATTTTTTTAATGATATACAAAAAATATATCTTAGAGAATTTAAGATTTTAAGAAAGATATATAAGAAAGTTATAATACTGCCATTTATTTGACATTGAATAGTTTTATTGAAAATTAAATGAAGATCTCACTGTCATATTTTTAAATAGAATTATATGATCTTTTTTACATGATTCTTTTAGTTGTTCTTATAAAAATATTACACTAAGGATAAAAAAAATTTATGAAAAATATTTAATATTTTATTGCAATATACTTTAAGTATAAAATTCTTTATTAACTTAATTTTGTGATAAATGCATCTTAATATACAGAGAGAAAAAAATACTATCAGCAATTAGAAATATATATTGTATA